ATAGCAAAAAAGTGAATCGGAATCTGGACATTTAACTCTACTCTGCATGGAGTGCCAGATATGGCACGCTCTGCTTTGCATCGAAATGTAACACAATACAATGGAGAAACCAAAATGAAAAGAGAATTTTTCCCTTATTTTTCTCAACAACACGAAAAAATATGATCGTCAAAAATGTTTTTGGTACATTAAAAAAAAATCATGCATTGTAGGGTTAACACTCACCTATGAAAAAAATGCGCAGAAGGAAATGTCCAGAAGGGAGGAAGGAAAATCAAAAATACAAACAAAGGATGGAAGAAAGGGAGAGTCAGACACAGGGTTCTCGGCAACCCGTACTTTACAAAGCGTTTTACCATACGATGATGCAAAAATGATTTATTTTAAATATTATTTACGTGCAACTTACCCTGCGGTTTACGCAGAGGCGGAGAGACGAAGTATCAGGAAAAAACTGTATGTACTTCTTATTGGGAAAACACATTCGCTTATGTTGATTGAGACTTGGAGTTTTCCGCATCTGCATTCGACTTCAAGAAAAATGTCATGGATTTCTTTGTCCTTTCCCTTTGCTTACAATTGTCTTGTCAACCTGCACTCAGCCAGATGGGTCTTGGCCATTTTACGAGTACATCGGTGAAATGCCGACATGCATTTGGGCGATTCGGTACAGGCAGACATTGGACGCCGTGCTCACGAGTCAGAGTTGGAACTGAAAAAGTACTCAGTACCGTTTAACCTCATCGTTTTAAGTATTTTTCATTTCGGGTATTACTATGGGTGGTCCCAGACCATAAGACGGAAGGATGATCATAAGGGCGCGACAATGCTTTGCCACTGCCATTGCGAGCAGAGTGCATTTCACAACTTTCCCTACCTGCTAGCGGTAAATTATAATTGTGAGATTAGAGAGAGAGGAAGAGAGAAGAAGAGAGAGGAAGAGAGAGGAAGCGCTCTTTCTTCCTCTGCTGTGATGCTCTGAATCGGATGTGTCAGAGCCTGTGCCAGAGGCTCCACCAAAACCTCTGCACTCTCGGTTGAGTGTGGCATTGGCGTCCTTTCGATCCGACTGGTTGGGTTGCGCTGTGAGTTTTCTGGAGGACGTCGTCTCGTGTTCTGCTTCTTTTTCGTAGGGAATCGCGATGCCGGACGGTGAATCCCAAGGCGAGACATGCATATTGAAGCAATATTGTGTTGATATTTCGCAAGATTCTGAACCTTGAGGAGTACAACTTACGCGATTCAGTAGGGAGCTGTCTCTTTAAAATATTATTTTATCAAACGCCGAATTAATCTCGCGCAGTAACATCGATAAAAAGCGTCATATTTCTATTGAAATCATTTAACTGAACATTCATTGATTACAAGAGCAGGAATAAATCAATATGAAGTTAATGAACGAAAGGAAAGAGAACTGGAGAAAACAGGAAACCATCTAATGTCTCCCAAGTCCGATAAAAGTGAAATTTTCACTCTCAGTATCCATCATCGGATTACCTGGGACAAACATATAACATTCATGAAATCGATTATAACTTATCACAAGATTTAATACAAAACTAAGAGCGTTCTCGGGAATTTCGACGAAAATTTTCCGGAAATAGTCATCATCGGAACGTCGTTGAACATTAAGATCTACTCACGCTCAACGCTACAACTACTAGAGGACAATGGGGTTGGCATGGAAAAAGTGGAAACTGGATTTCCGCGCTTACTCTTAACACGTTCTGCTGACACCGAGCTAAGAAACGAAGAGGGTTTTATTTATACGGTTCGTATGGGAGGTCGTTCACAAAGAAGGATCCTGTGGCACAAACAAAAGAGATGGGGGGGGGGGGTTCAGGGGTTTGAATCTTCCCTTTCCCCTAAGAAGCACATGAAGTGGGGGGGGGGGGGGGTTAGTGGTTCACCTAAGACTGCAGCAAACATATTTGCACAGCCAGCAAAGTTTTCCGCTCAGCACACCCTCCCCTCCGCAGCCTCAAGCTTCTTTTGATAGCTGCGAACCGATCCAACCCAACCCTCTCCCCCTCCCCCCAAAAATAAAAATTCGAGTTCGATTGCGCTTACAGAGAGGCTCAATCACCAGAATTGTTCCCCCCCCCCCTCCCCCACAAAGCACAAATACACATCAAATACGTCCCAGAGACAACTTGAAGTTCAGTGACGTCTCAGTGTCATGAACGTCTGGGAGAGGGGACAGCACGAGGAAGATCTGGAGACAAAGGAGAAATCTCATATTCAAGGGAAGATGAGATTTCTCCCCTAGAACGTCTCCGTGATGCGCGAAGTTTTTACGATGCAGTATCAGGTCAAGATTCCCTCAACCCTGGAAAGCTCGTGCTCAGACCCCCAACCAGAATATGGTCGACGCTCGATATAAGGAAACTCTATATAACGAATTTTCTTTTTTACTAAGTTTCTTTGTAACTTCCCTGTCTTTCGTCCATTCACATGCATGGTGAAATGCATGCGAATGGACATGTGCATGGTTTCTCTATCACGAAGTTCTGTATAACGAATTGCTCGGTTTTACGAAGTCATTTTTCGTCTGAAGGAAGAAAATCGTTCCGTATTAAAAAGTTTAAATTGCTGCACACGTCAGAGCTACTTTCTTTCGCGCATTCAAGGAAAATCTCATCTCAAGTCTAAATTTAGCACGTCCTACTCACTTATTGGTGTGGCCGTAGGAAAGAAGGGAACTCCGTTAGTCAGTCTTCATCTCAGGATACGAAGGATCAGGATCAGGCCTAGTCGGGCAATCAAAGCCTTCGACCGTCTTTAGCTGTTTTTCGGTCAAAGGCCAAATGTTGAGCCTGAAACGTTTCAAACATCGAGTGATCTGTGGACCACGGCTCATAGAATCGTCCGGGAAGGAACGCGCCAGACGACCAATTGGGACTTTGTTTTCGATGGCAGCGACCGTGACTTGTCTAATTTGTATTGCACCTACGGAAGGACACTTCTGGTACATGCCCATCTTGGAAGCTGTATTATATCAATCCGACACGCGCTCAGGCCTCATTTTTTCGCGATTGGACAACTGCATCCTTTTTTGGCATTAAACGACGTTTTCTTGAAGAGCCCGTCCGTTTTCAGCCAAAGGTTTGGGAATTTTCTATAACGAATTTCCCTTATAACTAAATTTTGTAGCCTGTCCCTTCGAGTTCGTTATATCGAGCCTCGACTGTAGTTACATTCAGCCATGCTCAACAGCATCATCACGGAGACAAGAACTCAACTAATTTTTAATAGGGACCAAAAAGCTCAATTTCCCGTTTTAATTTTTGCTCGGAAAATCATCATCCCTCATGCTTCTCGTTACGTATCTCTTCTACTTACCGCTGTACCAAACTGACAAGGATGAAAGTGCTTTAAAAGATAAGAAATTAGAGATTAGGGGAAAGGAGATGAAGAGATATTTCAAGGTCATTCACCTGGAATTCATGCCCTCCGCGCACGAGTCGCGGGTCGAGAATGCCCCGAGGGAGAATCCTCTCCCCTTTTTTTCTTTTTTTTTGACAGGCCCCGTCGGTTTTTGGGTCAGCATGTCATGAGCGAAGTCACGAGTTACGTCATATTGTGATGTCACACGTTGCCCTTTGGAAGATAAAATACAAGTAGTGTTGCAATATTGCCTGCATTAGCACCATGTCTGAAAGCCATCTCATGAGAGAATATAAGACATTATGATCTATAGAATGACTTAAAGCCTTCCGCTTTGGGGTATCGAAAAGTTCTCGACTGAAGATGTCTTAAAATACATATCTTTCTGGAAGTCGAGAAGGATTTGACTGAAGAACCCTTTGAGTCTCATGAAGTCTGAGGGACATCCCTGGGATGTCACCTTGTTGAATGGCCATGTGCAGATTTAACGTCATCCAACTGGTTCAATGAACCGGTAGCCACCATTCCCCTAATATGGCGGATGGAAAGAAATGTGCGAAATGTGAAGGGAAAACATGGTTGTATCTGGTAAGAGGGGCGCAATTGAGAGAGGGAAGGGACCCCTGGTAAGATTGAAACAAAAGAGGGAAGCATTATGAACGACCAGGATGAGATATACGAGCGTAAATACCTCGCAGAATTCTGCTATTTAGTTCCTCGAGTCACCTCAATCATGCTGAACAGTTAGAGTTCACTATTGGACGACTGTCCTGTCATCAGTAACTGGTCGCTCTCACTAACAAATTTGTTGTCGAATTTGCCTTGATCATGTCACGCCCACGTGGTCCACTGCGAAGACCACAGCCCCATCGTACTTATTGCTCTGATGGGAGAGGTGAAAGAGGTCTGGAACCCCTTTCTTTGAAGGTGGAGTTCTCCGGAGCCCTGCTGGCTCTTCTGATTTTTGGCCTGGTAGAGAAAGCTCACTGGAGCCAAAAGAGCTATTACAATTACTCGTTGCTCTCCTGATGAGTATCTGCATGCATCTCACACTGAGGAGAGCTGCTACCGAGAGTAAAGGAATATAAAGTATTATATGCCCCCATAGGTGAGGGTGCGTCTTTTTCCTAAGTGGTTCTGCTGCCTCAGTTTTGCTCTGGCTAGCAGCTGCGAGCGATCAGAGAAAAAGACGTCCCCACGTGGCATCGTGGAATGGGCCACGTGAGAAGCACGAGGCACAAGCCATCATGGCTGCCAACAGTGCTCCTAGCCCACATGTATGGTTCGATGGTCCCTGGAAACTCATGGAAGGCAACTGTGGAACCAACCAAATTTCGGGAATTCCAATAAGTAAAGAGCAGCCTCTTTTGTCATCTTCTTTACTGGCTCGCGGGCTGACCGTCATGAGGTGGAGAGACGTTACTGTTCTTCAGTGAGTTCATACCAAGTTGAGCCTAGTCAAGAAAGGTATTCCTACGGGGGTGTGCGCATACCGTAGTTGGGGTGCCCATAGTGTGCGCATAACGTAGGAATACCATATAAAGCACCCAATATGATTTTTAAAATAAGAGTCCATCAGCAGGCATCAAGATATAAAAATTGATAATGATAAAATGGAGTGTTTTTTAGTATTTGGTTTGATTTTGCCCTTTAATAGCTACTATTTTACACTTTCCCCCCACTATTTCTATGGTTAGGAGCAATGAAAAAAGTAAAATTTCTCCATGTTTCCTTGACTTGAAAACACTTTTGAATCAAGTATATCCATACAATGCCAAATATTGACTAGAAAGATGTAGGCAGTGACCATTTCATTTCATCAGGGTGGGTCAATATTTCCATGTGATTTCCCCACACCCCAGGCAAGTTAGGATGGAGCCTGAGAAAAAAAAGAAAAACAAAAATGTTGCAAATTTATGAAATCATGAGGCTACCCATCTATTTCATAGCCAATGCATGTGTCAATATTTTAAAGATTTATAAGTCTAGAATATATACAAGGGTATAGCAAATGGAAAATTGAAATGAAATTTACTCTAAATGGGTCAAAGTGACTCCACTCAATTATATATAACCAGTTTTTCTAAATGTGTGTACTTCCAGGTGTGAGACATGCTCTGATGGAGGTGAAGAGGAGCCTTGTGGTATTTACATCTGTGAAGAGTCTTTGATGTCCATGAACAAAGCCTTTGAATTTGAAGTTGAGAAGGTTGGTGGTTGTGGGGATGTTTATGTGGGACTTTGCACTCCAGATGCATCTCAGCTGGAAAAGCTACCTGGGACATATGAGGATTCCTTGTCTTTCAGCATCTTTCACAAACAGTTGAGTCGTGATTGTTTTTCTGTCTCATATAGAGGAAGCGGATTTGTATGTGTTAAATAGTCCTAAAATATACTTATGTATATTCCAAAATATACGTGAAATATGCTTGAAAGTTGGAAAATATGCAAAAGTACACTTTTTACTATATAGAATTAGTTCCTTTACCACTAAAATTTCATATCACCAAGCTAGGTGGTCCACTTTGGAAGTTGTTCCTCCCCTTATCCTGTAGAATTGGAGATAAAACCATGTGTCTTCTGGGTGTAGTTGGAATAATCTTGTCACAATACATGACTGCTGGAAATTTTTCATTTTTAAACATAAGCAAAGCATTTTTTCTTGGAAAATGATTTTTTTCCCTCAGATAATGGGTGAAATGGGCATAAATATAACCATATATGTGTAAATATACACATTCTGATTCAAGCACCAACATATTCATTTTTTTTTTTTACATCTGTTGGTACTTTTCCCTTCATGAAAATGGCTTCAATTGCTTACTATAATAATAATAATTTATCATACTATCAGGGTTGAAAGCTTCTGCAAGGCTGCAGAAAAATATGCATTTTCATGAAAATCTGCTCCCTACTCAAGACTCTTCATAAGCTTCAAATCACAATTCCTATGAGAGATAATGTCTGTGTTCAGGTTGAAAATGGGGTCATCATGGAACCATGTTGTGAAGAGGATCAAAGCTCCATTGCAAGACAACACCATTCATGTTTCAATCTCAGTACATCCTCCTGTGATAGGGTCCATGGCAATCAATGAATGTGATATACAAGCTACTCTTGCTATCCAAGGAAATGAGGTGTTTTTGAGAATTGTTTATATGAATTTTCATGGGATATGACAACTTGTTATCTGTTTACTCATCATTATGTTCAGAACTTCCTTCATTTTGAAACTGCTGCCTCATATCAAGGTGCTGCAAGTGTTTCTTCCTGTTCCACCTACTCTGCATCCTTCCATTGCCATTTCTGGTAGTCACATTGTTCAATTGATGAGAGAAGTCCCAGGTCCAAATCACATTGTGCCCATCAATGAAATTGCCATGGCTGTTGATGGATCTGAGAAGGACTGGAAAACCTTTTCAAAAATTCAAATAACAGGCCAAGTGAGAGACATTGCCCTCACTCATTATTTTGCTTTGACTATAAATTAAAGGAAACAGAATTTTCCATCCCCTTTATTTTTTCTTCCCAGGTCTTAGAGTATATAGGAACAGGGTTAGTAGGGTTGATCACAGACTGTGGTCAGGCACAGGCCAGTGAACCACTCACAACCTCCTCTCACTACTTTGAAGTTGAGATCTTGAACCCTGGTCTGAGGCACAGCATCATGATTGGGCTGACCAGTCAAGTAAGTTCTATGATTCTGTATTTTGCAATGTTGGGCTGTCATGAAATATAGCTGCAAATTAGAGTATGTATTTTTTACCTGCCTCTATAGTGCCACAAAATTGGAGAGCCTCTTGGTCACTTCCAAGGATCAATTGCATATGATTTGGGTTTTGGGAGATTACACATGGCTCATTCTAAAGGAGAACCATTTGGTCCAAAGTGTCAGACAGGTAAGGACACTTCATGAAGATACTCAAAACCAGATAATGGTATAGATTAATCTTGGTTGACAGGATAGCTTTAAATCTTGTAATATAAAATTTTTTATAAAATATATGCTTTCATTTGTAGGAGATGTGATAGGGTGTGGGATTCTTTTCCACCAGGACCATACTCCTACTAGAAGCATTGAAGAGGGTCTTCAGGACTTGAAACCATTTCCAAAACTCCTGATGAATTATATTTGGTCAGATAACAAGTCTGAGGTAGTTCATCGCACTTCTGCACTCCTACAAAAGACTGTGGATCAGTCTCTTGCTCAGGTACATGAATGCTATCTAATGACTGAAGTCAAATACAGTCACACCTTGATATACTGCTACCCATGCTCTTGGCCGACTCTTTCCTGAGAAAAAGTCTTCCCCATGTGCTTATAATTGGTGCTCCCCAAAGATAGCCTCCCTCACATACTGCCACCTGCCATCATTACTTGAACAAATGTTTTTTTTTTCTTTTCATACATATGATTTTTCACCAAGCAGCATTATCTGCCACAATCCTTTCCCAGAACTGCAGTAGTGAAGGGGGGTGGTTAACATATGAAAAAACTAATAACCCACCCTGTATTTGTTGCCAAATTAAAAAATTTTTGAGAACTGAACCTGTAAAATTGACCCCAAGGGGGGGGGGGGTTATGACCCCCAAAAAGTATCAGAGGGGGGTCGAGGATGGCAACACGAGCTCATCCATCTTGTCAAATTTTCCTTCCAAGACATAAGGATTGTAACCACTAGCATACTACAGTCCATTCAAAATATCACCAAAATTGGCTATGACCAACAGTGGCGGTATATCAAGGGTTCACTATACTATGAAGCTCATGATGCCAATTGTCATCTTATTTATGGACCATAGGTATTCTTTCGGAGGAATGGAAAGCTCTTGGGAATCAAGCAAATTCAAATTCCAATTGGAGGTTTCTATCCAACCATCAGCATGAGTAGCATTGGGGAAAGTGTCCTTGTTCATTTTCATCCTCTTTCTGGATAAACAGTTGATCTTTCTCACTGGTCAACTCACTTGGAATCTTATATAATTTTTGTGATTCACTGGTTTTCATAAAAGGTGCAATAAAAGTCTCACAAAATGTGTCTAGGCCTATTTACTTTTATTGACACTCTCGAAGAAAAACCATTTGCAGGTATGTATAATGTAGAATCAAAATGTATATCACACTTTCTCCACATATCATAACACAGTTGCTCCAAAAGCATGTATCAACAATACTTTGCATCTCTTCAGGGGGGGGGGGGGGAAAAGGAAAGTTCCTCCAAAAAATATTCTCATCTCTGAAGAAAGGAGATCGGCCAGAGACATTGTATCCAACGACTAGACAATCTGACAGCAGACCATTAAGGGAAGAGTGGCAGCTACAATGCAGTGTTAGAAATGGCATTATTGTTAAATTGGGATAAGATTAATTTAAAAAATATTGTAGTTTTTGGTTTAAGCATAACTGCTTCATATGGTGCTTTGGTGGTTCAGGATAGTGGCACCCTGAATAGAAAAAAAAAACATAAATTACTGAATAATGTGCAGTCTCTATGCACTTAAACAAAATCTATCTAAAGTAAGTGCCCAAAATCTGATTATTCAGCAGATTCATATTCACCTGTTTTCCTGCTGAATTTATGGATTTTAACATGCTAAATTTCAGAGATTCAGCTGCTGAGACTGCTTATTTTTCTGACCTGGCAAATGTAATATACTTGAACAATCAACCATAAAATACCACCAATCCATAAATGAAAGGATAAAAGGAATTTATGAATAAACAGTCTTCTGACCAATCACAATAGTTCCATGGCCACTTCCTTCAAGAGGGGGGAGACTTGATTCACAAAGCAACCTCAAAAAAAAAAAAATAGATAACAAAGGAAAAGAATAGAAGCTGGAACATCATTAGCAGCATCACCATCACTAACCAGCCAAAAGTTGCAAGCATGCAAACTGGGATGAAGGTGACTGAGTAATGAGTAACACATTGGATTGCACCCAAGTGGTCTCCATTGACCTCAAGCAACAGGGCTCTCAGTTGGATTGTCATTGGAAGGAGGGGTTGGAGCCTTGACACTGTCTGCAATCACTGCTGTATCTCCTTTCCCCTGCTCCTCAGGCAGCGAGTCTGGGTCTAACTTCAGTTCAGGTTTCACTTTGGCTACCTGAGGTGCTGCTTGCGCTGTGCTCATTACTGCATTTGCTTGCTGGATTGGTTTTCGCACCAGCTCTCCCTTTCTCCATAGGGTTATCTCCTATGGCAAATAAAAACAAATTTTAAAGCCCATTAGTACAGACCTATGTAAGAAAAATTCCTCAGTAAAATATTCATTTTCAGTGAAAGGGAGGGAGGGAAAGAAGTTTAGATTCCACAATCAAGTTTAATCCAGATCCATACATGAACAGTGCTATGTCTACAAGAGTATACAGTGGTACCTCGCATAACAAACGCAATTCGTTCCAGCGGTGCGTTTGTTATGCGAGGTGTTCGCGAGTGAAAGTGAAACATTTTTTCCTAATTTCCTTGATTTTTTGCAGCGACGTGGAACGGATTACATGATTTCCCATAGACGTCTATGGGAAATTGTGTTTCGCATAACGAACGCACCGCTGGAACGAATTGCGCTCGTTATGCGAGGTACCACTGTATTCCCTTTCCCCTAAGAATATGAAGAAATTAAAGTAAAAAAACTAACTTCTATCAGGAAAATTATTATTTTTTGCACAAGAGTCTGAGGGATCTGAGAAATTCATGTCCCACTCATCTAATTTGTGGTTTTCTTGAAACTGATACAATTACGAACAAGGTATTTCAAGAATATCTGACAAACTAAAACGATTAAACTATGCATGCTGGAGTCTATAACATTTACCTGAGATGGACGGGAGAATGATGAAAAAAAAAAGGGAAGTTATAAACAAAACTTTTTACTCATCAGCTCTTCTGCAACTCATTGAACTAGTACTGATAATCTGACTTCTCAGCCAGAGGCCCAACTACTAATTGATCCTTCATAATGGCTGAAAGCTAGAAGAAAACTTCTAAACAAAGGAGATGAATGTGGGTGGAGTATAAACATGGCTGCCAGGAATAAAAATGACAAAGGAAATTTACCTCCCTGCTTTGGTGTTTCTCAATAACTTCACATATAGAACTTGGTCAGGGTTTGATCTCTATTTGTGTCTAACATTAATGTGTGACCAGGATTCAGCATGACCTTATTACAATTTCTCCTTCCCAGATACTCAATGCAATGAATCACACTAAAGTTCCTCCTTCACAACTTCTAATAGGTTGAAGATGCAAGAGGTGTGAAGGCTTGGATCACTGCTAATTTTTGTGAAGAAAGCAATACATTATGAAACAGGTAGGATCCCTAAACAACTGCCAACCTGTTGCTTGAAATATCGCCGCTCCTCCTCGTCAACAAGGACGAGGTTGAGATAATATCTCACGCTGAATTTCTTGTTAATGTCTCTCATGGTAGGCGTGACTTCATAACCAGCCAGGAAGAGACGGATGGGAATGCTCTCTCCACGAACAGGAGCTCCATCCATTATCTCATACTTGGCTATTGTTTCATTTTCGTTGAAAGTGTTGGGTCCTGCATGATAATACCATACATTACCAGAGGTGATCTCACAAGCTGTCATTAGATCAAGTATGCATACTTACCTGATCCAGTTATCTCTCGCTTGATAATTGCAATCTCCATATGCTTGATTTTTATTCGAACCAGAAGGAAGTATATTTTCCCCACTATGACATCTCGTAGGTGATACCTACAGAACACACATCACATACACCTTACAAGTTATCCCAACAACTAACACAAATGAATATAAAAATTGTTGTGAATGGCAAATGTTCAAATTAGCTGACTTTGATTTGTTGTATTCAAATTCAATGTGTAGGCAGTCCTCAATGCCAACTTCCATTTTGATAGGATTGTTCATTTCTGGATATGAAGACAGGGCATGCACGATCAGATCCATCTCTCGGACAATATCAGTCAGACGGCGCACTATTGTAACCCGAAGGAAGTACCTGTCAAATAAAACCAAATAATGAGTAAGAATGCTTTATATGGGCAATGATTGAGATTAACACCAAACTGACCTCAGCCGGACATTGGCCCCAGTATATGACTCGTAGGGCTTTTCAACATTGTTGAACTCAAAGCTATAGCTGGTGTTCTGTGTCAATTCCCCAGGGCGAACAAGTTCTTTGACTAGTGAAGTGAATTCATGATGATTGCCTCGATCATAGAACAATTCAATCTGGCCAATAAATTCTATCTTCATGCCCTGGTGCTCCAACTTGGCTCCTGGTTTCTTCAGCGTAATGTTCACCTAGAAAAAAGACCATTTAAAAATCTCTTACCACCTATATACATGGGAAATATGATGGTAACATGAAAAGCTAAACAAGCTCACCTTGCCAGACACTGTTTCACCATCATAGTAAAGATAGTGTCTGAGTTTTCGTCCATCTTCTCCACGGATCTCAGCCATACGACGAGACTCTGCTCCATCAAGGATGATGTCAATGTCAGCATTTTGTCCAAATCCAAAAAAGCTCTGAAACACCACAAAGTATTCACAGATTTGAAGTTACCTAAGGTGTATACCCTTAAACATAAAATCTACATATGTAGACCAGACATATTTTCATGGTAACGAGTTCCAAAAATCCACAATCATGAAGCATACAAGTATATGCCCAATAACGAACTAAAAGGTTCACTTGTAATGTTCAAAGCATCAAAGCATGTGCTGTTCACTTCCAAGTATTAGCAGCTTGTTTGGAAACTGATGCACTTTTGTATAGATGTCAACTGAGATTCATTAGCAATAATAAAAAATGCTCAGTTTTGAAATATTCAATTGTCTAAGGTTATTTTGAATGAGAAAAATGTTTCATCCAATATTTTAAAAATCTGGTGGTGAATCAGGGGACTTTTTATGAGACATCAAATGGTGCATGAATTTCTTTGGGACACTGTAGTTAGGGCCAAAGCTACCACATATAGAAAACTTCCTTATGAGAGCAACAGCTTAATAGCACCTAAGAAAGGAACAAAATTAAAGAATGGAAATAGATCCAGCAAATACCTCACCATTTTTATTTTTAAGGGGAAGACAGCAACAATTTCACTCCTTTTTATCTGCAGTTCCTACTCAGATGTGGAACTCTGCTTTGTCTTCATTCATTTCATCCACACTTGATGTCAACAGAAGTGCAACTTAGCATGTCTCACATAGGCTCAAAAATACATCTCATCTGCATTGTTGAACAAAAATTTGCTTGCAGGCTGTCACAGCCCACCCTGAAAAAAAGTCACAAGGCACTAAATGAATGTGAGGTATGAAGTATTTAGCCTACATGGCCTTAGAGTATGGGCTGACTTCACACACTTTCCACTCATTCCATTCATACTTAACCCATTCCATGGCAAATTAATATGGAGGTGGTCAGAGATGCACTGAACACAAGCCAAAATTTGAATTTAACTGAGGCTCTTTGCTATATCCCAGAATGGATGACAGTTCATTCTTTCAATTGGACTCCTGTTTTCCCTCAATTCTTTGCTGTACATGCTACAAGCTTTGAATTCATTTCAAATAGTGTCTCCAAATGGAGATGCTACCATGGAAAGGGTTTACATACTTTTTGTTTTATTTTCATATAAATTCCCAAGTATTTTCTCAAACTGTTCATATTAGGACAACTGTGACTGCTTTATGGTATTTCTTGTGGGGCATGAAGAAAAAAATGTGAAGCAAATCCAAAAAGAGGATGAAGTCAACATAAGTTCATTTTGGACACATGATACAAGACTTTAGGCCAAGCTGTATCAGCCTACAGGGACAACCACATTAGCCTAACTTTAAGTTAGATCCTATTTGACAATGACAAAATCAAGATTTCCTTTAATAACTTCAAAAATAAAATGAACAGAATGAGCCACAGAAAGTTGGAATGAAAAATTACATTTGAAAACTTGTCAAAAAGTATGGATATCCACTATTTTTCACATTAGATTCATATGGCAACAATGGAGGAAGAGCAGCTCTCTATAGTCTGGGAAAAATCATGTATTTTCTTTGTATCCCAAGATCACCCAATATTATAATGGATTAGAGGTCATTACAAGAGAGATCCTTTTTACTTGCAAGAAAATGTCAGACTTCAGATGTCATTCCATGTCAAAATGGTTAAAATTTACTTAGGGGAGGGGAAAGGCAGAATGGCCACCATCTCCTGAATTGTTCAAGCTAGAAGGCTAGTCAATAGCTAGCTCATTATAAAGCTTAAAATCAAGCAATTCTAGCTTACTAAATAAATTATTTCAAAGCATCAAGAAAAAATTGCAGTTTTTTAATGGCAGAAGCTGGAAATTAATGTAGGATTCAGGGTACATTCATACTGAATAAGAAAAGTCCAACAACAACCTCTACTAGTTCTTACAATGATTCAAAAAATTGCTTTGTTACTTTCTCAAATTTGGCAACCTCTGACCTTCATTTAACAAAAAATGATACACTTGATGCCAAAAATAAATCTATTAACAACTACAGAATGAAATTTAGAGTTAGCTATTCATATGGCCAAGGCTATCTTAGGTAAAATTTAGTTTAGAAAATTTTTACCTGATAATATTCTGATTGTAGCTTACAACCAAGTACATGCATAGTTATTTCTGAAAATGAGACCATTCCAATTTCCTAGATATGAAGATGTTGAATATAAAAAAAATGACATGCTCTCTCAAAAAGACTATTCACCACCCCATTACAATGGACAAATGCATTTGTTCCCAGATGTTGAACTTCATGACCAATGAATAGATCAATGTGGCTGTGAAGGTCACTTGGCTCAACTTCCTTGAACTTCTTTCCTTGGAGAATGCTTGAGAACACTTCACAACAAGAAACCAGAAGAAATCCAAGCGAACTAGTTTGCATCTGAAATTGATTTCTAGTTGGTATAACTGTGAGATGGCCATCTGGAACATTTTTGCTAAATTTCTAGCCATGATGTGCCCTCTCTGATGACACAAAGGATTAATGTCACTTTTCAACATGATCATGTCTATGTTATGTTCTAAATAAATTATACCATACAGTGTAATCATCCAATCACACCCTTGAGAATAGCATTCTTCTATACTGATATTGGGCAAATGCTAGGCTTTTAAACATAGTTTTGATTTTGTTTTGAGACACCAGCATGCCACTGGGTTAGGCCTAGTCCTTTAGGAGAGCTTTATACAGACTTAGTGTTTTCAGATTTACTCTCCCTTCCATGGTGTTGTAATCAAGTTCTTGAGAGAAATCTGGTGATTTTAACCATCACTAATGCCAGAGGGCATAATAAGAAGTGCATTTCACAATATTCCTTTCAGAGCAGAACTTCTACTTTACAAGTCAAAAATAGGGTTAATAGAGAAATAGAGCTTACTAAAATTGGGCAGTCAATCCAAAAAACGAAAGAAATGGCATAAAGGCTACTCAGCATATAGGTGAACGCTATTCAAAGCTGGTACATGACATATGGCTCAACCTATATTTGTACTTGTTGCTGCCATTCCTTCAATGGTGCAACATAAGAGCTCATGCAAACAGGAAACATGGTGATCAAGTACAACTGTCAAATATACTCAAGACCCAGATCAAGACCTCATTGAAGAGATATGTGGAACAAAAATGTAGTTGGACTGTAATTGAACTCAATCTATTATTCTACTAATAAATAAGAATAACCTAATCCTTCAATCCCTCTCAATTTATTAAATGAGACTAGGACTACTGACATAGTTCTATGCAGGAATAAACTTTTTTCTGCATCAAACTAATAGATGCTTTGGTATTGACAAATGGTTCATCAGCCATCCTACTTTTGTCTTTTGAATGGGTCTTGTGAGTGATTACAGTATGAACTACATATGCTATTTGGCACTTTCTCAATTATTCTTATCCTGTTTCAAATGTAGTGGGGTATAACTCTTGACCTTTGAAGATCCAAAAAGCAAAGATGTTAGGAAATGGAAAGGTGCAACTTAAATCTGTTTTAGGCCATCTGGACATGAGTAGCACTTGATTGGAGGTAAAAACTCAAATACATAATTTAAATTGTGCCTTCACCAGTCATTGAATGCATAGCCTGATGTGCATTTTACTATTGATAAACTAGGTTGTGATGGTGAGTACGGTGAGTAAGCTTAGTCACCCTAACTTTTTTCTGTATAAAGATGTGGAAAAACCCCAAGCCTACAGTTACAGTTAAGTGCTTACCCCCCAGGGATATTGTGTTGCTCCTTAAGTTATGTTAGGTTAGGTTAGGTTGGGGAGGTGTTTATTATAAATAAAAGGAATCCTAATCGATGTAGCATGTTTCCAGTTTAATTCATATGGAACATTGGAGACTGAGGGAGAGCAATTTTGTTAGGGGGTACTCGTTTAACCATTACCCAAGCCTACACCCTGCACTCCTGTCCTAGCGTTCAGCTGCACAATGTGGAATGGTGCATCGAAAGTAATAAGAGACTCACCATTACATCTCACTACTAGACTCGTTAAAATCAAAATCAAGGCCAAGCCATTGGCCTGTGATGCCTAAGTTAGTGATATTGACAATGAATCATCAGGCGAACACAAGCATGAAAACACTGGCCAAGGAAGAAAATCTCAATATCACATTTCCTACTAAGGGTCAGTAAAAAAATTAATGCTGATTTGATGGAGAAACAGCATAAAAGAGATAACGATCAAAACTGCAATAACGCAACGCATTAAACACTGCACCTTTGTCCAGTGGGCAAAGCTATGCTAGAAGTCAATGGTCCTGTGTAAGATATACTCAACTCCGGGACCAGCCTTCCACCATGTGACAGTGATGACACTTAGGATGAAGCTTGCAGAGAGACACGCAATAATTATTTATATAATTGTGAGAACTTCACAAGGTTATAAAAAGTTAGAATCAAATTTTACTTGCTAATTTTGGTTTATCGAGGAAAAATTTTGCGGAATCGTATATTCTTGCTTCATTTGTGAGCAAATATGAAAGCACCTGTCACGCAACCCTGACTTAACACCGTGCAGATGGCACATGATGGAATGAAATAGAGGATGAGGTTTAGAGTAAGAATCATGCTGTAGTGTTAGCATTCCCGTCGCTAGCAGCTGTCAGCAAAGCAGTGAATTGATGTTTGATCTTTTTTTAATTATTATTATGTATTTCTAGCCCATGTCTTTTCATCACCTATTGGTTGTTTCTCGTAATTCCGTAGGCGATTGCTGGTGGGCCAGATGGGAGGGACAAATTAGTTTCACCCTGGCCTATCCTAGGAGCTGGGCAGAACTGGAGGTTCTGTGGAACATGTACCCTATTAATCTTTGACTGGGTGCCATGGTTGTTCCAATCAACCTGCTTGGGCTGCTCTTTCCCTGGAAAGGCTCAGGCCATCTTCATGAGTTTTCATCATGCCACTTCTCAGTTTTTTCTGCCATCAGTCTAACATTGGGCTGGGCCATCATGTGTCACACAGAGAAGAGTCGCTTGTTTGGTGAGTTACAATATGTAAATATGGATTTCCTTTGCAATCCAGAGAGCGAGGAACTCATTGCAAGATGAATGTTATCATTTTGACATTCTAGTGTCGGCAGCACTGCCAGATGCAAGCCAAGAAGGCCTTCTGCATCCATACAGAAGTTATACTGATGTGGCTCTCTTCCACTTCACTGTTCCCCCACATTCATTTACAGCAACCTGGGAATTTGCTGCGTTTATGGATGATCCCTCCTGCCCCTCCCGAGAAGTTCATATGTAAATCGACGACTGACTAGAAATAGACGACCTTTTAGAAAGATTCTCTCATATACGATTCATTCTGATCAAAACTTTTCAATTTCATATGTTTACTTCAGATTCATGCAACATGGAAGCTATCCCGTGATGAGCCCTGATAATTCCAGCTTTCCTGAAGGCATGCATACAAGCCGTACCCATCTTTATAAGATTGAGACATGGACAGCCTACTCTCCCCATGATGCAGTTATTCTGCCCATTCATAACCCTTTGCCTGGCAGCTGGTTTGCAGCAGCTTACTTACCTGACTGGGACCAACAGGTTCAACAGGAGGTAAGACTATACTGTTTAGCTGGCATGCACCAAATAATATCAATGTATTTTTTAATAAATGAATTCTGAGAATTAGTTCAGCATGCCTATGTTCAAATGTTGCAGTTCAATTGCCAATTATCAGGAGTGGCTCTGAGCTGAATTGGCTCCCATCATATAGCAATAGAAGAAAATGGAAGCAAATTAAGGTGTCCTAGAAATGTTTGACATCTTGAACCTACCAAGGAGGATTGACAGAGACAGGTTCAGTCCCTTAGAATGATGGAGTGCAGGTGAATTACAAACTAGGATTTATCTTCCAAAGGATGCACTGTGGCTTGGCACAGACAATTGAGCCACAGCTGGAATATACTACTGATTGCAATGATGCACTAACCCTATTCTCCAGTTTTGTGGTTCAATGCATATTGCTGCCAGGGGCACATTTCAAACATTAGCTGTTGGTGTCAATCATTTCTATGAGTCCACAAAAAGCCAAACATTTTCTGTTTCTCAATGCCATCCTTGCTCTGGGTCTTCAGACCATGGCAGTTCCAACTGTGTTTGAGTAGGTCAAAAGGGATTTTTTTTAATACAATATTTATGGATTTCCATGAATTGATAGATTGTGTTGATGACCACCATGTCCACATCAAAATGCTCTCTGTTCCCAAACTAGGAATCTTCAGAAATTGAATATTAACCTCTAAAACCATTAATTTTACTCAGGGTACCACTGCTGGGTAATGCATGACACTGTAGATGTGCGTTTGGGATACTGGCTTGGGGGGCTTAAGAATTTCAGTAAGCATGCTACCAGTGTGCAGGCCTGACCTGAGATTCTACAGATGGCATATTCCCGTGCTTTGTCTATGGGCCAGAGGAGGCCTTAGGTATGACCATAAGATGTACAGTATAGCTGAACTCCCATTGGTTGACTAAGTTGCAACAAAACTGCAAAAAAATTGCTACTGCTGATTGAAATTTGCTTGATGAAAATAACATGACTTTTCTCACTGAAATATGACTGGACTAACAATGCTTGGCTGACAAATTATTACATTTTTCAATATAAACTTGAGGTACTTGATGGATATTTTAGAGTCTTACGGTAATCAAGGGAATTTTCATAAATTACTTTTGATGAAAACTCTGGAAAATGGCATTTATGCAACAGGTACACAAAGTAGAAGAATCATAAAGGGAATAGCATTTTTATGCTAGGTCCATTTGAATGAAAGTTTTCATCCCATGCCAACAAAGAATCAGAGATGATGTCCTAATGAACAGATTATGCTCTTCCTCTGCCACAGGGATACTGGCAGCCAATTGAATTTCTGAAATTCAAATGAAATGTCAATGAAAGATCCAGAAGGTGGTATCTCTAAGAGAAAGAATAGAAGAAAACATGGTAGAATAATCATTAACATTTAGGCCTTTATCGACAAATTTTGTTTTCCCTTCTCCCAGGGCATTATCCATAGATGTCGCTATAGTCTTGGCTCCATAGCATTCTGGACTGTAGCATCAAATGTTGGTCTTGTCCCTGTCAATCAACCCACCTTCCTCCATTCCAAGGAACACTTCACATATTACAGGTGGGTATCTAACCTACTTAATCTCTATGCAACCATTCCTTGCAAGCCAGAAGAGAATGGAATCTCCTTTTTCTTCTCTCAGGTTTTATGTCCCAGAAAATGTTTGGAACATTCAAGTAGAGCTGTCTAGATGTGAGGTGATAGTCCAATACAATGAATCTAAGCCAGAGAATTGTTTGAGTGGAGTTTACTTGCGTCCAAATGCATTGCCTTCTGTGGAGAATTCCACTCCTTTGGGGCCTCTGCAATCCAAGAAAAGCATGAATTGGAACTTCTCTCCTCATACAGACTCATACTATTATCTCCTCTTTGTTGGAGAGAGTGTGGCTCAGTTCCAGATTGAAATTTATATGAAAGGTGAGTCCACAATAAAATTGTATTACTTTTTTGAGAAATGTAGCAAGCCTCATGATTGTATAATTGCATGTCTAGAGTGCCAACCAAGTTCCCTGGAGGAAAGCCCTCGTGTCCACTACTTTGTAGAGGAGAACATGAATCAAACACAGTATCTGCTGCACAGCAATGAGACAGTGAAGGATCGGTGGGTGGGAAAGGTCCTTTCATCCAATGCAAGCCACTCTTCATTCAAGACAGCTCTAAGGAATGTCTCCCAAGAGTGTCTTCCATGGTTTAAGCTCTCTCGAATCAAACACATCTTGGATTTTGAGGATTCTTTCCTGCTACCTGTGAGCATTCACTATTTTTATTCTTTTTTTTTCAAATTTCCAGACAAGGGCTATGCATGCTCATCATTTGTCTGTACAGGGTAAAGGATGGTACACTTCCTGGCTGGTGCTTTCTGAAAGAACTCCTGTGATAGTGTCTTTCAACATCTTAGACTTTGTGGACATTGGTGGGACCCTACATGTGGGAGTTCTCATGGATGAAATTATTCTAGTGAGCTTTCCTGAAAAGTATCCTCAGTTGTGGCTTGTGCATTTGTGTATCAAGAGAAAGGAGTATTATTGTTTTCTTTTTTTCATTTTAGGGTGCATTTACGCAACTTCTAGTCATAACAGCATGTGTTCAGAAGAACTCACCCCCAGTTTGGAGTGGAGAACACTTTGAATGCAACCCAGAGCTGTTGTTAAGGGCAACATCAGAATCTCCTGCCTCTGTTCTTGCCAGGAAACTTTTTCCCTTTCCTGAGGCAGGGACATGGTTTGTTGGCTTCCATCTCCATTGCTTCATCAATAAGTGAGTGTTCTTTTCTAACTTTCTTTCAGTAAAACTGGATTGGTACATAATTTGTGTTTCCTTGGGATAGCACTAAGGTTCCATGTGTGGTGAGAGAAGTGATGGCATCATTAGATGTTCACACACAGCCATGCATGTTCAGGGATCAACCCTGTGGGGAGCATGGGATTTGTCAAGAGACTCATCAGCGCCAGTTTTACTTCACAGCCTGCAAATGCTTTGCAGGTATTGTTGGAATTTTGGAGCTTTGTGTCTCAAGGGTCCCAACTCTAGTTTCACATTGCAGTTATCATTTGTGGTTCAGGCTACAAAGGCTGGGGATGCATAGATGGGAGTGAGGCCCACTCTTCATCGTCCCTTCTTCTCACCTCTCTCTTTCTGACCTTGAGCAACTTAGCATTTATACCAGCTATTGGAATTGCTCTTCGATACCGCCTCTTCCCTGAAGCTTTGGTGTACTTTTCTACTATGCTCTTCTCTGCCTTTTACCATGCTTGTGACCAGGAGGTTTATGGCTACTGCATCACCAAGTTTGAGGTGAGATAATAAATATGTTATAACATGCAATTGAGGAGTTCTCTGGGTAAAGAGCTTATATGCATAAGGCACCATTTGAGAAAGTAACTAAGCCTCCTCAGAGTGCATCTGTGACTGGTCTGAATTCAATTTTCGGTGATATACGATTCTTGGCTACTTCTTTTTTTAATTTTAGGCTGGAACTAATTTTTTCCCTGCAATATGCCAGAATTCAAGCAAAAGACATAGACATAGACATTTATTGTGCGGCAATAAGCATTGCATACACAGTAAAGGAAACAAATGGGGAAAACATTTGAAGGAAGTGTTTATGGGGTGTTTGCAGAAGAGAAATAGTTTCTTAAGGAAAAAGCTTGACTTAGATAATAGACTAGCATTTTCTGTGTATTTTCATTGCTGGAGGACATTAGCGAGGCGAACTTCTGCCGACTGGGATGTTGCCAGAAATAGTTGGGTAGGTTTTTAGGAATAAAGTCATATGCAGAGCATATGAAAAGAAAATGGTATTCATCTGGATGAAATTTTTGAGGTTTTGAGTGAAAAAATAATTTTATGTGGTTTTTGACATCCTTAAATCATTGAAAATTCTTGTCATTCAGGGAGTTTTGAAGAGACCTAAACAGGTGACAGTCTAATGGGACAATGTCAGGAGAATAAGGAGGGTGAATGAGCACATCCCATTTCAACTTCCTTAATTTTTCCTGGGTTCTTATCAACACCTGTAGTCAGGCATTGTCATGATGGAAAACTACCCCTCTTTTTATTCACCACAGCTGGTCGTTTCCGGACAACCACCTGCTCCAAATTCTCCAGTTGGGTGCGATACTTCTCTGCATTGATGGATTCTTTGGAGCTGAGCAGCTCATAGTAGAGGATTCCCTTGAAATCCCACCAAATGCAGAGCATCACCTTTCTTGGGTGCAATCTTGGCTTTGCAGTGGGGAGGGGGGGCCTCTCCTTGTAGTGACCACTGTCGTTTTCTCTCCACATCGTTGTAAAGTACCAATTTTTCATCTCCCATCACCACTCTTTCCAAAAAGGCCTCCTTTGCCAGATGACCAAGTAAGGAAACACATGCAGAAACACAGTCCATTAAATTCTTTTCCATAAGCAGATGTGGGATCCAAGCACCCATACACTTCACAAATGGTTTTCACTGCATTTGTGGCATTATTTCCGTTTTTAAACTCATAAAGCATCGCATGATGCAAATGCTCTTGATTTTCACTCATTTTAGCCCTTAAAAAAAAAATTCAAATCACTTCTAAAATTCCAAAATAGATTTTTGTGTGTTGTTTACAATGTCCACTTGTCAAACAATAACTTGATTTGACATTTATGACATTAATTACTTGTTAATTAAACCATACTGCCACCTATTAGAAATATGCACAAAATTTTTGGCCAACCCAATACATATGTCCTTTTTTTTTCCCTAAATCCTCACTATGAACTTTTTCAGCTATTCTTTTTTTGTCAATTTTCACTATAAAAATGAAATTGGCTCTGCATTAATCAATCAATTCATAATTTAAGAAACCATGCCTTAAAGAAAGATAAGGAAAACAAGAGCATTCAGAATAGCTTTCATGAGAATCCTGAACTTCCCCAGATAAGCACCATCATTTGAATGACTAGGCCTTCCTCCCCTTTCCCTCCTACAAGTAGCTATAACCAGACAACTGGATGCCTGCCTGCCATTCAGCAGAAGCTTGGGAAAAGTTGCTTCTCTCTTGCTACACCCACTTCCAAATCACTTTAACCCCTCAAGTGTGTGTGATGTCATATGCCATTCTCATGCTGGAGGTCCTGCTGCCTACCAGGAAAGTCACACTTGAGGGGTTAAAATCATTCTATCCTATCGCAAGTGTCCCAGAGCAGTGCATGAGCTTGGGTATAGGAAATATTGGCACTAATGCCCTTTTTCCAGAGAACTCCTCAATATAACTGCAATGCAATTTCCATGGTCATTAAATTTTTTGCATCATATGATCTTTTAATGTTGCAGGTGCTGCAATTCTGTGATTTCTTCAGCAGTATCCTGAGTTTCTGGATGACCTTGGTGTCCATGGCAAATCTTGAATCATCACTCTCCTCCACCCTTCACATCTTGGGTGTCATGCTGATTGCCTTTGGGGTTGAATATAACCGAAGAGGTCTTGTGGGCTTCATCGTCCCCTGTGCTATTGCCACTCTTGTCCCTGTGGGTAGTCTCTCTTTTTCCCCATGTATGGGGTATGGCAAAGAAAAACACTCTGAATTTTAACCTATATATTGCTGCCTTTCATGGGGGTATTTTCATGAAAAGCACAATAGTGTTTCCAATAGACCTAAGAAGCAGGACTAAGAGTCCTTATTCCTTGACAATTTTACGTTTCCTCTGGTATGTTCCACTCCCTTCAGAGTGGCTTCACATTGCATGCCACCTTGAAGGCATTTCATACTATCAATTTCCAGCTAGGGTTCCAGTTCTGTTTTAATATCAGATTTCACATGATTACTCATGGCCTTGCTTAGACAGAATGAATTTGGATGTAAGTGTCTGAGTCTACCAGTAATTTACTGTGTAAACAGTACATGGTTTGCATAGCTATCTCTAGTAAGAGTGGAAATATTTGGGCTCAATGTTGTGGGGGAGGCTTTGTCATACCCTGTATATGGTATCCTTAACTCATCAAACTGTTCATGCATGGTGTATGTATACTTTCTTCCCTTTCTGACCATGTTGAAATGGCTTTTATGTAATGTCTATCATGGAGAGGAAAAGAGGGCACATGTGTTGCCTTAGTCAAATACGTGGAAATCCAGCCATTTATCAGACGTAATTGATGGCTTATTAACAATTAGCCTCTTATAAGACTGTAGCCAGCAGATGTAACCATGTAGGTACATGTCCTTGCTCATTTTTGCCCAAAACATAGGGACTTTGGGATTTAAACCAAATTTCCTATATTTATATTAGGGCTGTACTGATGATCACATTTGACCGATGGACCAATTGCCATTTTTGATCTCATACCCAGTGCTGATGCCTATTCCAATTGCAAAATGTATATAAAAAGCAAACATATCCAAAACTATTCAAATATGTCTATTAGGGAGCCATGTTTTACTTGTTTTTATGGCTTTAACAATGGCTGTTTTGAAAGCATTGTTATAATGACCATAACTGTAAGCAATGTATTGATGCATCACAGTAGGAGGGTGCTGGGAGCTTCTATTGACTCTTATAGTGATCTGGGCATCAACATTGGCTCTTTGCAAACCTATGGATGGCCAATCTTATTGATGGGGATCAACTGATACTAGTGGTTGCCAATGCACCTGTACAGTCCTAATATATATGTATTCATATAGCTATCAATAAATTCCCAAATATAGGAAAAATTCTGTGAGACACAAAGCTTGGTAAGCATATCCCAGCCTTAAGACCAACTTATGTAAAGTCAGAGGGGAAGAAATCTGCTGTTGGAGATGTTCTGTACTATTTGGGAAATGCAGATATGTTTAACAGGCTTTAACAAGGGATGTAAAAATTTATTTGGGCCCAGGAAAGTCACCAGGCCAGTATGGCCATGGTCATCAACATGTTAAAAAGAAAGGGAGCCAGCTGACTTTGAAGAGAGCTATTAAAGGAAGAAATGTTTGAGGAAGCCTAGACTATCACTAAAGGAGACCAGCTCTTCAGCAGGGAAAGCCTCTTTACCTTGTAAAGTAAAAGCTGAAGACTATTTTGCCATATTAGCACATTCACTGCTGATGATGCACATTTGCACCAAAAACTAATGAAGTCACTCATCAGGAGTGAACATGCTAAATAACAATCCCTACTGAAGCCCCTGTGTCAAACTTCAGGCAATTTTTTATTCACTCAGCAAGTTGTTCAGTCTATAAGCCTTTACCCATAGTTATAACTGCTTTGTTCTTTTTTTATAGCACAGACCAGTAGTGTTTTATAAGATTCATTGTACCAGGTGGCCCAAAAAAAAAAGCTTTGTTTGACACTTTATAAAACCTTTTGTGGATGATCTAGGTTCGTGATGTTTTTTGCATCACATTTTTGGAAACACCACAATATTTGTATTCTGAAAGTTTATTATGCCTAGGTTGTCAGAATAAAAATCAATAGTCATTCACAGTGAAGTAATAAAATGTACCTTTTCTGCACTTGAGGTGGATGAAGTTTCAGGACTGTTCCCTTGATGCCATAAATTATGCTTATTATTCCTGTTCTCATCATAGTATTCTGTGTACTATTGATTCTGATGCTATGATGCATGACAGTAGTACTATTCTAAGATGTGTAGAATTCTATGATGAGGACATGGCATAAAAAGCAGTCTTTATGGCATCAAGTGAGAGAAATAATTTGAGCAGTGCTGAAACTCCATCCACCTCCTGCATGGATAAGGTATATTTTATGACTCCACTTTGAACAATTATAAATGTTATTTATTCAGACAGCCTAGGCACATGAAGCTTTCAGCAAATTCACAAAAAAACGAATTTTGTGGTGTTTCCAATGTGATACAAAAACATTATGAACCTAGATCATGCACAGCAAGTTTTATGAAACGTCAAACAGGATGCTTTTTATTTGGGTTACCTGGTATTTTTGTCAAAAATTACACCTGGTGTAATTGGTTGATTAGAAGCTAAGAGATTTTTTCTTGCATTGTCAAATGAACCAGTATGTCAATGTGTGAAATCTGCCTGCATCCTTCATACAGGATTGGAGGACGCAGGCAAGTCCTTCCACTATATTTCTGCTTTTTCCTTAGTTTCTGTACTTTTTATTGTTTTTCCCCTCCCCTCTTTCTTCTTGGCAGTCTGTATCCTGAAAAAGTTGTTCATCCCTAAGACAAATTTCATTCAGGTTTTCATGGAACCACTGTCACATGTTGGATGTGAACATCCTGTACATTTTTTGTTATTTCAAAAAAACTCTGTCCCATCTGCAACTGAGTAAAGTTGGGAACATTTTTTGAGCTAGCCACTCAGTTATTTCTATAAAAGCACCTATCTCTTCTCTCAAGCTGTTCATATTTGAACAAGAATTATATTTTTAAGTTAAGCTATGGGCCCCTTGCAGTAATTTATATAGTTCATGAAATTCAATTTTGAGGCCAAAACCGGTCAGATTTCTTCCAAAACAATTTCCAACCAATTGAATCATAATTTTGATTTAAATCTGTTTTTTTTCTAGGCACTTATGGCTATTTTATGTGGTTATTCTGATAGATCATTGGAAAATTGTGGGCATGTAGACGGAAGAAGAGCTGTGTTCAATTGGAACCCAAGAACTTCCTGTATTTACTGCCTGGTGTTGCCCTGGCTACTGGGGGCCTAATCATCTTTGCCCTGGTTGAAACAGAAGGCAATTACCAGGTAAGATTGTCCACCAGACTAAAAAATGAATTAAATTCTCCAAAAGAAAACGTGCCTTCACTAGATTTTTCTTGGGTAAGTCCATATGCTTCAATGATCTCATCATCAATTGTGTATTCTTCTTACCTTTCACAGTACATACACAGCCTATGGCACATCCTAATGGCTGCATCCCTATTCTTTCTTCTCCCTCGTCGTCGCATCGAAAGGCCATTGCCAGTTCAAGACACAGAGCATGAGAGAGAGGAAGCAGAGCTGGAGGCTGTACTGCACTCAGAGCACCCAGTCTTTTCTTTGGCTGCATGTGACCAGGAACTTCTAGTCACCCCTATCCACTCATGAAATGTGAGGCACCCACCTCTGCATCTGTGTGGCTCTACTTACCCTTGTGGACTTCATTCATATTGTATGGCACAGGATGCCATTGGTCACACATTTAGTTACAAGAAGAGTCACAGAATGATCTCTTGCACTGTTTTGAATCTCATCCTGCAGCGTCATGTTTTTGTTTATGAGGGGGTTTTTTCCCACTTTTTTTTTCTCAATTGTTGAGGTAAGGTGCAATCAAAACAAGTGGCTGAAGTTTTCTCATCCAGATAAGAAGTCTTATCTGAAGTTCCTTTGGATGCATTTCTAGAATCAAATGTCATGAACTCTTACTAGGTTGCTGGGTCAAAATACATCTTTCATCATATGGGAAGGCTGGGTGGCAAAGCAGTCTATGTTTCCAAAGAGATAGGAGTTTGGAAACTGCAGGCTCTGAATTTACAGAGGATGGTCTATCAAGTCTGTAACCTCTTGCTCAGGAATCAACAAAAAACTGGTCTTCCCAGATCTGGAATAGGCTATCACCATGAACCTGGATCTCATGCTATACTTCCTTTTGCAATATTTCTGCTTTTTCATTTGTTTCAGTATTTTTTGTTATTCCCCTCCCCTCTCTCTTCTCAGCAGATGGCTTGAAACATGTTCATGAAACATCATACCGGTGGTTTGTTCACAAGGAACTGCAGTTTTTAATTTTTCAAGTTAGTTTTTGAATTATGGCATGTGCATTATTTCCAGACTGAATTCACACCCCCCATAGGAGTACTTCCATCGATTGCAGGTAATGACATCCTATATCTGGGTGGTTACATCTATTGCCTGAAGAAGGGAAACCTCTGGAAACATGTATTTTCTCCCTATGGGTGGGTGGTACGAATTCAATCCAGAAACAGTGTAGACAGGCATATAAAATGTCTGCCATCCACCTTATTTTTTCCATTTTGCTCTCAAAAATATGCTGGTCTTCCTCTAGTCACCTGAGGTGACTGAATCACACTGCTGAGTTTTTCCCCTACTGCATCCTATTCACACTACACTTGGCTGTGGGTGATTGTCTGATTGTTTGTGTCTTAACCTATCACATCACATGATTCTGTGAATTTGGATCATTCAACTGAGCTACATCTGTTTTCATTGCTTCACTGTCATTAGGAAGAATGATATCATGATCCTCATCAAATACCTTGTGATAAAAATGAGAATATCCCATCACTTGAAAATGCATTTCATGTTGTCCATGCCAGATTTTTATGTAGCTGAAATTTGAGGTGTCTGCAAGACAACTTGAGATGGGGCATAAACGTTGATGTATGCATAATTCATTGCAGTATTATGATTTTTTCATCATCACTTATTAAACTTCTCATGCATCTGTTGATGTTACTGCTTTTTTTGACAGCTCATTTTTTTTTAATGGCAATAATACAGAATCACTGTTAAGTTTCTGAAGAAAAAAAAAACAAACTTTTTTTTTCTCATTCGTTTATGTTGATGACACCATTTCCTCATCCAGATTCTGATGAGAAACAAGAATTTTTCTAGTCAAGCAGAAATGCTCTCTTTTTTTCACACTACACTTGTTCTTGATGTACCACTGTCCATGTTCTCTTGTATGATGCACAATAAAGAATCATGGAAAGATCAACCCTCTTTGCCTTCTTTGACTTCTGTTCATGTACAAAGTCTCTTGCAGTTTCATGTGGATGAAGCTGGGTAGCATTACCATGCCAGATGAACCATCTTGAACATTTGCTCCAATCATGCTATCTGAGTATAGTCCTATGATACATTTTACTCAAGGAGGGAATATATATGCTTGAAGGGAAAATGGACTGAACATGAACCTGACTGAAGTGATGAATGTGCCAACCAATGGCATGATATTAGCTTTATTATTACTACTAGTTGAAAAGGAAATTTGAATCTGGATTGCAGGAATAATTCTAATAAAGTGTGATTGATGTGAAATTGAGGCAGGGAGTATGGGTCTTGCTCCTAAGAAAAGTGCCTTTGAAGGGGATTGGCAATGTCCCTGTATCTCTTTGGCCACTTAGCTGAGTCAAATGTTTTTCTGCAGTAGACTGTATGGTATCCCAAAGTAATTTAATGATTTCACTCTGCTCCCATGTACCTTTAACCATTTGTGGTCCTATGTCAACTGGATGCACCATCAGACATAGCATTACAAAAAAACGGACTGCAAGGGGTTAAGGCACTCATTATTTCTTGTGGAATTTATTCTCTCTGAACAGATACACTTGTGGAAACTCAGGTGGAGTCAAAATGGCTGGTGTATCAAGCATGTACTGCATGTACAAGCAGACCCACCCAGCAACAGGGATTGAGCATTCTCTTTACTGCTACTTCTTCAATAGCGTGGAGAGGAATCTGGTTGTGGCAGGAGCAAATGCTCTTCGTGTTTTTCGTCTCATACCTGACACCATTCTCCCTCAGACAGGACCTAGTGCAGAAGTGCCCAAACTGAAACTGGAATGCCTGGCCACATTCTCACTGTTCGGTGACATCATGTCAATGCAGTCAGTGCGGTTGAGCAGTTCCTCAAGGGATGCACTTGTCCTTGGTTTCTGTGATGCCAAGCTTTCAGTGGTGGAATATGACCCCAACACTCATGATCTCCGCACTGTTTCCATTCACTACTTCGAAGATGAAGAGACTCGTCGTGGTTGGACTCGAAACATCACAATCCCTCACATACGAGTAGACCCTGACAGCCGTTGTTGTGTCATGCTAGTCTATGGCCGCAAGATCGCAGTGCTCCCCTTCAAGCATGATGCTGTGGCAGATGACATTGACCTTGAACTGGGTGAACACAAGCCTACAGTCCTCTCTTCTTATCTCATTGACTTGAAAGATATCAATGAGAAGATGGACAATGTCATAGATATGCAATTTCTTCATGGTTATTATGAGCCCACTCTACTGATTCTGTTTGAGCCACTCAAAACCTTCAGTGGGAGACTGGCTGTAAGGCAAGACACTTGTAGTTTTGTTGCTATCTCTCTTAACATCCCTCAAAGGGTCCATCCCGTGATATGGACAGTTTCCAAACTTCCCTTTGACTGCAACAAAGCAATACCAGTACCAAAGCCTATTGGGGGCACGCTTATTCTAGCTGTAAACTCCTTAATATACTTGAACCAGAGTGTGCCACCTTATGGTGTGTCTGTGAACAGTCTGGCTGAACCCAGCACTAACTTCCCCCTCAAGGTGCAAGAAGGGGTGAAAATTGCCCTTGACTGTGCACAGGCCCTTTTTATTGACAGTGAACGTGTTGTAATCTCTCTGAAGGGTGGTGAACTTTATGTCCTCACTTTGGTCACTGATAGCATGCGAAGTGTGCGGAGCTTCCACTTCGATAAGGCTGCTGCCAGTGTCCTCACTGCATGTATTTGCATGTGTGACATTGGGTATCTCTTTCTTGGTTCTCGCCTAGGAAATTCTTTGTTACTGCGTTATTATGAGAAGTCAGCCAGTGAAGGAAGCAAGCCTTTAAAGGTTAAGAAGGAGGAAAACCCTCCCTCTAAGAAGCGTCGCATGGACACATTGGGTGATTGGATGGCCTCAAATGTGTCTGATATACAAGACCTGGATGAACTTGAAGTCTATGGTGCCACTGAAGATACAAAAGCAGTTGAAATAGCACAGTATGTCTTTGAGGTCTGTGACAGTCTTCTCAACATTGGGCCATGTGGGAACATTGCTCCTGGTGAGCCTGCATTCTTGTCTGAGGAGTTCTCACAATATGTTGACTTGGATGTGGAATTGGTTACAACATCTGGATATGGGAAAAATGGGGCTTTGTGTGTCTTGCAGCACTCTATCCGACCTCAAGTTATCACAACTTTTCAATTGCCTGGCTGCTCAGACATGTGGACAGTGGTAGATGGAAAAACCCAATCTGGTGATGATCAGGGTGGAGAACATGCTTTCCTTATTTTGAGTCAAGAGAGTTCTACTATGGTTTTGCAGACTGGGGCAGAGATTGATGAATTGGATTCTTCAGGCTTCAGCACTCAAGGCCCTACTGTATTTGCCTGTAACCTCGGCAACAATCGGTACATTGTCCAAGTCTCAAAGCAAGCCGTTCGTCTCTTGGAGGGATCTGAACAGATCCAGCTCATTCCATTGGACATTCTCAATCATCCAATCAAGTCAGCCTCGGCTGTGGATCCTTACATAGTCCTTCTGAGCAAAGATGGTCAGGTTGTATTATTCACCTTAGTTGAAGGACGAGACAATGCCAAACTCCAGATGTCGTGGCCATCAGTCACAAGAAAGAGTCCTGTTATTGCCATCAGTGTGTACTGCGATACTAGTGGTCTCTTCACCTCTCGTGTCCCCGAGGAACTCTGTTTACTTTCGGGGATGTCAGGATTCTCAATGAATGCTCAAGGTCAGGCACATGATATATGTCTTCCTACCGCTGAGGCGAAAAAGGAACTGGATGAAGAAGAGATCCTGTATGGAGATTCAGGAACTAAGGAGGTCAATCCCTTTGTCAGTATCACCTTTACTTCAGATTCAGATAATCAGGGAACCAACAGACGAATGACTTTGACCAGAGACACCAGGCCTACTTACTGGGTAGCCTTAGCAAGGGAAAATGGGAACCTTGAGTTGTACTCTATCCCTGATTTCAATCTGCGATTCTTGGTGAAAAACTTCCATCATGGTGACAAGGTCTTGGCTGACTCTGCACCCACCTCTGTAGAGGCATCGCAGGCACAGCAGGCAACACAGGTAGCCAACATATCAGAGATCCTCCTTGTTGGACTGGGACACCATCATTCCCGGCCTTACTTATTAGCTGTAGTTGATGAAGATCTCCTCATCTATGAGGCCTATCCCTATTACGAAAACTTAGATAAGAGTAGCCTCAAAATGCGCTTTCGGAATGTGGAACATCACATCATTCTGCGTGAGCGGCGTACTGGAAAGTCAAAATCAGCTGATGTAAATCCACCTCATGTCCCATCTCTGTATCCAAAGTTACGATATTTCTCCAACATTGCTGGATACAGTGGAGTATTCATTGCTGGTCCATACCCACATTGGATGTTCATGACATCCCGTGGAGAATTGCGGTTGCATCCAATGAGCATCGATGGTGCTGTGGAGTGCTTTGCCCCATTCAATAATGTCAATTGTCCTCAGGGCTTTCTCTATTTCAATCGCAAGTCAGAAATGAGGATCTGTGTACTTCCAACGCATTTGTCCTATGATGCACCCTGGCCAGCGAGGAAAGTCCCACTTCGTTGCACTCCACACTTCATCTCGTTTCATCTTGAATCCAAGACCTATTCTGTGGTGAGTAGCATCTCTGAGCCTTCAGACCAAATTTACAAATTCAATGGAGAGGACAAGGAGTTGTGCACAGAGGAACGAGACTCCCGCTTCCCATACCCAGTGAATGAGAAGTTTTTTGTTCAGCTCTTTTCCCCAGTCTCATGGGAAATGATTCCCAATACCAAAGTGGATCTTGAGGACTGGGAACATGTGACTTGTCTTAAGACAGTCAATTTATCCTATGAGGGGACTCGAAGTGGGCTCAGGGGATACATAGCTATTGGCACCAATTACAACTACGGCGAGGACATTACCAGTCGAGGTCGGATCTTGATTCATGACATCATCAATGTTGTTCCAGAGCCAGGACAACCCTTGACCAAGAACAAAGTCAAGACCGTTTCTGCCAAGGAGCAGAAAGGTCCTGTAACAGCCTTGACTCATGTTCGCGGGTTCTTGGTTGCCGCCATCGGACAAAAGGTCTATGTCTGGCAGTTGAAGGACAATGATCTTGTAGGCATAGCCTTCATTGACACCCAGATCTTCACCCATCAGATGCGTACTGTGAAAAACCTGATCTTTATCGCAGATATGTATAAGAGTGTGTCCGTTTTGAGGTTCCAAGGTGAGCACCGCACTCTGTCCCTGGTCAGCAAGGACTACCGGCCCATGGAGGTGTATGGAATTGAATACATAGTGGACAACAGTCAGCTTGCTTTTCTCGCCTCTGACTCTGAGAAGAATGTTACAATATACATGTATCAGCCTGAAGCCCGGGAATCATACGGCGGCCAGCGACTGATACGAAGAGCCGATTTTCACCTTGGCACCCAAGTCACCTCATTCTTCAGAATTCGTTGCAAATTGACAGATCCGTCAACAGAGAAGAAGAATCCAGCTCCTCCTGGGAGCCTGTTGGAACACCGACATGCCACCTGGTATGCAAGTCTGGATGGAAGCCTGGGTTACTTCCTCCCCATCCCCGAAAAGGTCTACCGGCGTCTCCTTATGTTGCAGAATGTTCTCTACAACTTCATACCTCATACGGCTGCATTGAATCCCAAGGGATTTCGCACTTTCCGAAGTCATCGGAAGCTCTTGACTCCACCCTGTCGGGGAGTCTTGGATGGAGAACTCATCTGGAAGTTTCTTTCTCTATCTGTAGCTGAGAAACAAGATGTGGTGAAGAAGATTGGAACCAAGGTGGATGAACTTATTGATGATCTCCGAGATATTGATCGCATCACTGCGCATTTTTAGCTTATCAGTGCTGTTCTCTTGGACATTGCTGATATAAAGTTGCTTCCCTTGTTCACAGTGTTGAATTTCAATCGACTATTCAGCGAAGCCATATGAGGGTTTGGAAACAATTTGAAAGGTTTTGACTGGTAGGGACTATTACATTTTTCTCTAAAGCCAATTCAAAAGGCTAGTGATTTTAGCATGCAGGAACTGACGAGCATTTAAGTGTTTTTCTCCGAATGGTAACCGGTTTGGTTCCGCTGTGCGATTCATGTCGGTATGTAGAGACTGATGAGCCAATAGCGCTGCAATCAGGAACCGATTTGTTGCTTTTGCTTGCGACCATGAAGGAATAACTAATTCGCAAAAGGTGTCTTCTCCGTTTTCTTCAATAAATATGGCATTCAAAATCTTTACTACATATTGTGAAGGGAAAAAACAAAGGAGCACAGTGTAATGCTCACTCGGGGACATTAGATGTTGATACATGCAATCATTCGCTCGAAATTACGACCTACTGAGGAGTTGGGGAGGTTCTCCCCCCTCCCCCTTCCGAGGCATAGACCATGGGGAACGTACGGCCCCCATCACCATGCAGAACACTGCTTTCACCCAGCACCCGTCTCACCCTCCCCACGCTGGACGCTGCAGCTCTACGTAGATCCCTCCCCATTACCCCTTTGAACAATATGGACGTGGGACGAGTAAACACGTCCTGACCTTGGCGGCTCAGTGACTAGTATTGACACGTATACATTTCACATAGATCATTCACGATCATTCACATTTGGAATCCTGCAGTAAGGACTTGTTTTAGTACCCTCGGTTGGAATTTTATGTCCAAACACCGAACCTGAGTATCGTTAAGAAGTTTTTCCCAATATGCTGCAAAACACTCCTGCAGATCCACCCTAATTAGAAAGAACTCACTGAACAATGGGTTCAACAACCTTTGAACCTTAGATGGAATACGTGGTCCAGTTGGAGAATTCCAAGAGGATTTATTTCCAGCTAGCAAACAGGATTCTTGGTGCCTTTAAAACAATGCACCGGTGCAAGCTACCTGCTCCCTCTGCCAGTTCCACGTGCGCCATGGAATCGTAACATTGACACATCCACCGTATTCGCCGTCCTTGGCTCCCTATAACTTCCCGAAGCTGAAGGCGATCATGAAGGAAGAGAGGTTTGATGATGTGGAGGTCTTCAAAGCAAACGTAATTATTGCGCCTCGCACCATCCCTGTGCAATCATTCCAAGGCACTTCTGTGTTCTATATGAACGCGAGAAAAAATGCATTGCCGCTGGGGAGTGCTTGAGGGTGAATCAATTATAGTAGCACGCAAACCCTACGCAGCTGTTCAATTGCTGTAAATAAATCCTGTCACAGAGCTTTCCGAATAGACCACGTATCAGAGAGAAACTAAGGGTGGATTTTTGAACAGAGCACTGTCCGATAATGCAGCTTTATTTCAGATAAAATGCTTGATAAATCCGGTAAATAAAGCTGCATTATCGGATAGTGCTCTGTTCAAAAATCCACCCTAACTTTTCTTTTCTCTTCTACGAGCAACCATATCATTGAAAATGAAAATAATAACAATAATAAAAGGTGCCATATTGGGAATTAGAGAAATTAATATGTGTGGTTGGTGCAGATAAGAAGGAAACTGGATTTGGAAATGGGGTTGGTCGAGACAATGGCCTGAATGATGACGCATGGGGCCTGAAGGTCGAGGTGGAGTAGAAAGTTAAGTCATTCTCTTCAGCGTTTGGGGGAATTTGCTCCAAAAAGTCAGGTGAAGGACCGTGCTGAGAAACGGAATCGTGCTCGGGATCCGTAGGAACTTCATCTTCTCTTCGAGAATAACTGAGAAGATGATTCGATCCGGGGAAAGCCAGGAGAAATTCGAGGAAAATGTAGACCTAGGACTTGAAGGACTCTGAAAACTCATATTGAACCGTCGTCCGCTTTTATGGATTGCAGTGGAATTGAATGGCCGACACCGCGCCCCTTGTCCCCGAATTGACTGATCGCGGCAACGAGTGGGATTTGTCGATTGCGAATCGATCAACTGCATGCAGTTCTGAAGATTATCGTTAAACTGCTTTTCTTGATCGCTCAAACGCTCATTTATGCCCATTTCATGCCACGTAGGTGTAAGTTTCAGCCAATTCTACGTTGAAAATGGCCACGAGGCCTACTCGCAGATGCACGCCGCCTTCGAGTCTATTTTTTCATCGACTCTGACTATTTTATTTTTTTTATTGCAGTCAGTATGTCTGACTTTCAAGTGACATCAAATTTTGTATATGAGAATCCATGAATATATCCATATGATATAAAATCAACATCCCGTTTGAGAACAACGTTCCGCCACAAATATAATTGAGGTGAAAGACGCCCCTTTTTTTTCTAAACAAGTGATCACTTTGTGACGGGATCAATCAACTGTCTCGATTTTGCATAATAATTGTTGACATTCAAGGGAAAGGGAAGAAGCTTTAAAAAAAATTCTCTATACGTTGCCAACCAGCTGCTAATTGCTCACTTTCGTGTCGCATGTAATAGAAGTAATGAATTTAGTAGAATTCCCCATCTCCGATGCTCGTAGTGATTCAAATCTGAAGTGACGACAGAAATGCGTCCAATTTCTCAAGAATGTTCTTCAGAAATTCTGCAGGAATAAATTTCTCTGAAATCCTGTTGAATATTTTAGTTTTACATATAAAAATCCTTTAACTTTTTGTTATGTCCTATTTTACATCGTTCAGAGCTCTGTAGAGTTCTAACGCAAATAATAATAATGGATGTTTTTAATTTACGTGGGTCATCCCAAAAGTTCGAGAACATTTTGTTCTACATCAAGTTTTAACACCAAATGCAGCATTATTCCAAGTGAACTTTCTCAATATACTTCCCGCGCAGCTGCACACGCTTCTGTTACCGTTCTATCAGCTTCTCGAGTCTTTCAGCAAACCAGGTTGTTGGGGTCACTTGAATCCGCTGGTTCACAGCGGGAGCATGCTCCAAGCGAGCGCCAAGGTCAGGTCGCCCTTGGCGAATCATCCACTGGAATCCATTCTGCTTCAAAGCGATGCATCCACTTATTTATGGCACTTTTCCTGAAAGGTCTGTCCCTGTAAACTTCTTGCAGCTCACGACCTGAGACTTTTTCTGTTTCCACAGAAACCAAATCCCCCCTCGCTGGACCCGATCATCTTCTTACATAGTGGTAAAATGTAGGTCTGCTTAAAAATGCGATATCTTTGCAACGGGAAGGAGCAGTTACATGAGCATTCCTACGTTAGCACCATGAGACATCAATATGAACACTATGATAAGACCGTTGCTGCCGGATCACATACAAAGAAAATATTCACATTTGCTCTCTAACTTTTGGGGTGACCCACGTATTTTCTCAGAACGAGTCTGGACGAAAATCACTTTTACGATTGTCAAAAGAAAATTTGAGAAAATATCGCTTGATTCTCAAGGGCGTAAGAACCGAAGACATTGCAAAACAATACTGTGCCGTGTCCCCCTAAAGAGTTTCTTTTCAACATACAAACGCACCATCATTATTCCCTCTCTTTTTTTTTCTTTCCTTCGCCAGTTTGGATCAGGCTTGTTTCGTATTGGATAAGAGATCGATCTGCTCCTCAAGAAGTGTTTCAGTAATAAAAAAAAATGGAAATGGTGGTTTAGCATATGTGAAACGCAATCCGTGGGAAGAAATGAACCAAAATCTAAGCTAAGTTCGTAATGCGAGGACCCTTATTGCACTGCCTCTTAGCTGAATATTTCTCTTTCGTGTCCATGGGATTTCAGCGCTAGCAAAACATCAACTTCTACTAAATATGGTTGTAATGATACGTATTATTCGAGTAGCTAGCCGATGGGTTGTTATTTTTCATTCGTGCCAACCGGCAGTCCTTGGAACTGGATACAAACGATGATGTAGGTGCAGACGACTCCGAAAATCTGAAAAAAAGAGAACCATCTGCTCAAAAGATAATTGGAGAATTTCTCAACCGCATGGAGAGGAGAAACATGGACTCCACCGTGGTGACGAAGTGCCTCGTGACGGAGAAGAAGCCCCATCCCGTGAGAGCCATCTCGGGACCCTTGCACCTCTCCATCAGGACATCCAAATCCTGGAGCAGAAGCCTCGGGGATGAACAGCGCATCCGCGCAGTGGGAGAGAAATGGAAAAATTCTTCAGTCGAGCGACCTCACCGTGCAAGGAGCGTCTTGAAGCAGTCGCTCCCGAGCCCATTCGAGAGGACGATGAGCCTGTGTGAAAAGAAGTCGATCGACGATCGATTGTGTTATATTTTAAGCCATCGTTGCCATGTGTGCAGTGCACACCGTAAAATGCTCCATGCATTATGGATCTCACACGTAAATTGCAAAGTAGAAATTGTCGGCCGGTAACTATGGGGTTGTCGGTCGAGTGGATTGGAATAGTCCCATTTCGGGAGTTAAACATTTACTTTTGCATGAGTCAATTTGTGAAGATATGACTTCTGTCATTGCGATGAAAATAGCTTTCATTGAGATCTACGTGTTCGTCGGACATTGTGTGGCCCAACCTGATGGGAGAAAACAAGTATGAAGTGTAGGAGATATGTACAATATATGTGAGAATATGTATTTGAAAAAAAAAAGTTTTCTAGGAGTATGTCACAGCCAATTTTGACATGAATAAAAGCTCCGCGTCTGACCTCTTGATGAAGCTGGGAGAGAACGATGCTGAGAAAGATGGACCTGAAGAGGATGAAGATGAAGACACAGATATACCAAATGGGCAGGACTTCCTTTTGATTCAAAAGAACAGGAAACACCTCGATCGTATAAGCGATCATCTCCGGATAAAAGGATAGGATCATTGGTGACACGATATCGTCGGTTGCCTTCAGAGTCTCCACCAGAATCCAGTGCAGTTCTTGCGCCTGGCAATTGATTTAATTAATTTCTAGTTTAATTTTCCTGTCGATCGATGATTCTCAGAATTTCA